GGACTCACGGACATCCTGGGGTCTCAGTTTGTCTCAGGGCTTTTCACAGTGTCTCGGTGCCGTTCCAGTATTTCAGTGGAGCTCAGAAACGTCCTCTAGTGCGCACGGGGTGGAGGACCTGCACGGGTGAATCTGAGGGCCCTTCCCAGTCCTCAGTGGAGCTCAGCACCGTTCCCAGGGTCACCTTGATCCTCAGAGCCTTCCCCAGAGTTTTACTGGGGCTCGGGGATTTTCCCAGGGTTACAGGGGTGTTCAGGGCCTACCCCGGGTTCTTCGTGAACCTCGGGGTCTTTCCAGTGTACCTGCCAGGCTCAGGACCTTCCCCCAGGTGGTATATGTGCTCAGGCTTTACCTAGGGCCTAGCTGGGGATCAGAACCTTCCATGGCGTGCTGTTGGATTCAGACCTTCCCCAGAATTTCACTGGGTCTCAGGGCTGTCTACAGAATCTTAGTGGGGATCAGAATTTTCCTCAGTGTTTCTGTGAGGGTAATGGCTTTCAGTAGAGTCTCAGCGGCTCCATGGCCTTCACTTGGGTCTAAATTGTGTTCAGAACATATCCCAGTGCCTCACTGAGTCTCCATGTTTTCCAGGAAAGCCACTGGGCTGATGGTATTTCCAAGTTTTCTAGTGGGGATGAGGACCTTGGTCTCAGTGGGATCCAGGGTCTTTCCCAGGGTCACAGTCAGGCACAGGGTATTTCTCAAATTTTAGTATTCTTACTGCTTTCCCCRAGCACTCAGTGGGATAAAAATTCCCTGTGCCTCAGTGGTTTCAGACCATTCCCCACATTCTTGATGGGCCTCAGGCCTGGCCTGGAGATTGAGTGGGATTCATAGCCCACCCAGGATCTCAGCTTGTCTCAAGGTCTACCCGTGGTTTTCCCAGAGCCTCGGTGGGACTCAGAAACTTCCCCAAGTACAAACTGGGTTCAGGGCCTACAAGAGGAATTCAGTGAATCCCAGGGCCTTGTCCAGTTCTCAGGGAGCTCAGAGCATTCCCAGGGACGCACTGGTGCTTATTGCCTTACCCCGTGTTTACGGGGCTCAGCACCTTCCCCAGTTTCTCGGTGGATCTCACAGCCTTCCCGGGGGGGCCTCAGTCAGGTTCCCCAAGTGTGCATAGGAGATGGGGGCATTTTCTAGGGTCTCAGTAGGGATCAGAACCTTTCCCCCAGAGTATCCTTGGGGCTCAGGGCCTTCCCCAGGATCTCAGTAGTTCTCAGAGCCTTGTCCAGCATTTAAGTTGTCATTAGGGCCTCTCCAGGTCTCAGGGGGCTGAGGTGTTTCTCAAGGGACCGACTGGGTTCAGGGACTTCCTCGGAGTCTCTGTGGGGCCCACTTCTCTGCCCACTGTCTCAGTGAGCTCAGGCCATTCCAGGTGTTCTCAGTGGGGCTTGGGGCCAAACACCAGCTCTCAGGGGAGCTCATGGTCTCTCTCATAGTTTCCTAGTGGGTCAAGGGTTTTCCCAGGGATCTCTCTGGGATCAGATTCACCACCATACCTCTATGAGAACAGGGCTTTCACTAGGGTCTCCGAGGAGCTCAGAACTTTCAACAGGGTCTTTTCCAAGTTCTCAGTGGGCCTCTGGGCCTTTCCTAGGGTCTCTTTCTGGCTTAGGGTTTTTCCCAGGGTCTCACTAGGGCTCAAGGTCTTTCCCAGAGTGGGGTTAAGAGACCTCTCCAAGGCCTCCTGGTGTCTCATGGTCTTTGGGGGTGTCTACCTTGTATCAGGACCTTCCCTGTGTCTTACTGGGCTCAGTGCCCTACCCAGAGTTTACTGAGGTTCTCATGGGGCTCGGGTACAGGTCCAGAGTCTCAGTGGGGGCTCAAGGACTTCTCGGGGTCTCACTGAGACTCAGGGACTACCTAAGTCTCTCCATGGAGTTGAGGCCTTGAGTCTCAGGGTTTACCCAGAGTTTCAGTGGGACTCAGGGCTGTCCACAGATTCTCAGTGGGGCTTGGATTCTTACCTGGTGTCTCTGTGGTGATGGGGGCCCTTAACTGAGTCTCTGTCCAAGCGCAGGGACTTCCGCAGGGTTCCAGCATATTCAGTGCCTTTTTTATGGTCTCAGTGGATTCAGGGTCTTCCCCAGATTCTCAGTGACAGTTTCCAGGTTCTACATGGGGCTAAGGGCCTTGTCCTGGGTCTCAATGAATCTCACAGTCTTCCCCTGGGAACAGGGCCTTCCCAGGGTCTCAATGGGACTCACCATCTTCCCCAGAGATTAGAGGGATTCAGGACATGACCCAAACTCTTCCTGATCTCTGTGGGTCTCTCAGCGGAATCAGGTCCTTCCCCGGGGCTCAGGTCTTTCCCTAAGACCTGAGACTGGGGCTCAGGTCTTTCCCTAAGTTCCCTCTAGCTTCATGGCCTTTTCCAGAGACTCAGTGGGGCTCAGTGTTACCTCCAGACTCTCATTAGGGCTCAGAATCTTTTAGGTGTTCTCAGAAGGACTTAGGGCCTTCCCCAGGTTCTCGGTGGGGCTCAGAGTCTTCAGTGTCTCTGTGGGTCTCATGATATTGGTGGGTGTCTACCTTGTATCAAGCCCTTCCTCAGAGATTCAGGAGAGGTCAGTGATAGAYCCAGAGTCTCAGTGGGGCTCAAAGACAGCCCCAAGGGCTTAGCTGGATTCAGGGCCTTACCTGGGGCCTCAGTGAAACTCACAGCCTTTCCCCGGATCCCAGTGAAGGTGACAAATTCCCCCAGAGTTTCAGTGGGGCTCAGGGCTAAAATCTATAGGATCTCATGGGGGCTGGAATTTTTACTCAGTGTCTCTGGGGCTCAGAGCCTTCCATAGTGTCTCAGGGATTCTCAGGTTCTTAATGGTGTTCAGGAGATTCCCCAGGGTCTGACTGGGGCTCAGGGTCTTCCCCAGGGTCTCAGTGGGCTCAGTGCCACCCTGAGAGTCTCAGTGGTAACCAGGGTCTTCCCCATGATCTCTGGGGGCTCAGTGGTGCTGAGATTCTTTCAGATGTTCTCATGTGGCTCGGGGATCCACGTGAAGTCTCAGTGGTACTCAGGACTTCACTAACACCGCACTGGTACTCGGGGTCTTTCACAGGTTCCCAAGAGGGCTCAGAGCCTTCGCCGTCTCCGTGGGGCTCTGTGCTACTCCTGGAGTCTCAGTGGGGCTCATGTGTTTTCTGCAGGTCTCAGTGGGGTACAGGGACTTCTTCCAGGATCCACTGCATTCAGGGCCTCCACAGTTGTTTCAGTGAGTCACGGTGCTTTTCCCAGGTTCTCAGTGGAGCTCAGCCCCACTCCCCAGGTCACAGTTGTGCCCAGGGCCTTCCCCAGGGTCTTAGTGGGTCCCGGGGCCTTCCCTGGGGTCCAAGTGGCTTTCATGGCCTTTCACAAGTTCTCAGTGTCTCACCTGGGTTCTACCTTCCCCAGAATTCCAGTGGGGCTGGTAACCAAGGCCCAGGTCTCATTGGTACTCAACGGCTTGCCCCTGGTGACCATGAGATTTCAGGCCTTTTCCATGGTCTCCATGAGACTTAGGGTCTGCCCCAGTGTTTCAAGGGGCTGTTGGCCTATCCAGGGTCTTTCCACAGTCCTCAGGGGGCTCCAAGTCTTCTCCAGATTCAAATGAACTCATGCTCTCCCAGGGTCTAGGTGGGACTCCCCGTCCCCTGACCCCCCGAGTTTGAGGAGGGCTTAGGGCTTTCCCCAGCGTCTCACTGGGCCTCAGAGCCTTCCCGGGACATCAGTGGGGCTCATTTCCTTCCCTGGGTCTGTTGGGAGCCTAAGGTTTCCCCCAGTGTCTAATTGTCCTTGCAGTCTTTTGGAAATTGTTGCGTACTCCCCTCGGGCTCCAGGGACATGGTTGGACACAGAGTCAGTACTGAAGGGGCAGCTGACTGGGAACAGCCAGGGAGGGCTGGGGAGAGCTTTCCAGGAGGGCTCTAAGGGTGAGCGGGGCTTCCCAGGCACCTGGAGGAAGTGAGCAGAGACTTGAAGACTCACTGGTGTCCCCTGCCGCCTCATAGGAAGCATGGAGCAGGCCACCTACAGGAAGGCCTGGCCTGCACTCTGCCAGGACAGAAGTGGGGTGGGATGGGGCCTGGCTGGCTTGGCCTGGAGGATAATGGGCCTCTAGCTGCAGGCAAGGCCCAGGCCTCCTGGGTTGGTGGGGGGCATCCCAGAGCCCACAGGCCACCGCCTTTGTGGAGACTGAGGCTGGGAGGGTGTGCCYCGAGCAGTCCAGCTACACCCTTCCCGTCGGCACGCATTTTGGGGACACCATGGAGTCTCCTCTTAGCTCCAAGGTCCTGCTCTGTGGTGAGGGGACTCCTTTCTCAGGGATGGGGGACCCCTCTCCCTCTCTCCCTGTGCCTGGTTGTTCTCCAGGGCGAGAACTCCCACACAGGCAAAGAGGGTCTGGTCTGCAGCCCCGTACCAGGGACCACTCAAGCTGTGGTTCCTGCTTCCTTCCTGGGCCCAGGGACTTCCTTCTCCTACCTCCTGGTCCCCACCTTCGCTGCCACCTCTTGGAGGTGGAGCAACTCATCCAGGGCCTTATTCAACCCTCCTAGGGCTGCCAGGGAGCTTGGAAATCAAAGAGGCCTTTGGGTGGTCAGGGAAATGAGGCCAGGGTTGTCCTGCCTGGCCTGGGGTCCCCAGGGAAGTTGAGCTAGACCAGGAGGAACATAGGAGGGACTCTCCAGCAAGGCCAGGGACACAGAGGCAAGGCAGCACAGAGAGACCTTTCCTTTATTGGGATGATGCAGACGGCATTGGGGGCAAGGTGACAAGCAAGGCCGCCTCTGGGCCTTGGAGCACAGGTGGTGGCAGCAAGACAGGACCTCCTCACAGGACATTCACCAGTCATGGAGCTGAGAAGGAGCAGGTGGGTCAGCAGGGAGCTGAGGTGACGGGGGGTGGGTTCTGGGTGGTCAAGACCCAGCCCCTATGTGGGCCTGAGCTCAGGGACAGGGCAGGAGCTGGGAGAGACTGAAGGGACCAGGAGACTCCAGGGCAGGCCTGCTGAGGCCGTGGGTCATGCACCATGCACCTAGCTGATGGCACTCAATGCCTGGGTCAGGGTGTGCAGCTCATCCTGGACACCCTCCAGCGAGCGACGGATGGTATGGGGACTGTCCAGCACATCGATGGCCATCGTGTATGGGTCAAACTTCACAGAGAAGGGGCGCTGGATTCGAGAGGCATAGCCCCTGGGGAGGGAAGTCAGAGGTGGGTGGACCCTCAGTCACCTGGTAAGCACCTGGAGGTGTGGCGGGCTGGGCAGCCAGGGGCAGGGTCTGCTGCCTCTGGAACATCCCGGGACAGTGTAGGGGCTGGCCAGGGATGAGCTTTCCCCCAAAGAGGGTTTGACCCAGGAAGTCCTGGTTGAGCCCTCAAAGCAACTGAGGCCTCCTCCAGGGCTCGGTGAGGTCCGGGCCAGGCACCTTCTCTAAGCAGTCCTGGGCCAGGAGTCCTCAGCCAAGAGAAATGCTAAGCAGGGCCTCCTCCACTGGGAAGCCTGCCCTGACCCAGTGCCCTGGAGTGCCCCTAAGTTATTATGGGACTCAGCCGTCCCTTCCATGCTGGACACAGCCCCTGGCCTCAGCTTCCCCAGGGCACAGAGCAGCTGGAGGAGAAGTGAGCAGACCCTTGTCCAGGATGAGCCTGCAGGCTCTGCTCCCCTCTCTGGGACCCACTGGCCACTGTACCCCATCCCTCCATGCTGCCGTGCTCCCCACCACAGCCCCCAGCCACCTCTGCCCCCTGTCCCACCCTGAGGTGTCCCCCATCCCATCCCAGGCCCCCGCTGCTCCAGGCAGGAGGCTGGGAAGGCCCCACGCTGCCTCCTCACAGAGCTCAGCCTCTGCCACGGCCCAGCAGGTGGCCCTGGCCCTGGCCCTGACTGGCCACACGGCAGCCTCACCCCACGGGCTTCCCTCTCCCAGATTCCCTGGGGTTCTTCTCGGGGAGAGCACTCCTGCTGTGAGGGGAGGCTGTGCCTGAGGGTCGCTTTTCTCCTCTGTGAAATGGGTTCAAAGCTGAGCCCTGAACACAGGGGAGATGAAGGCCTGGCTGCACCGGGGCGGACGGGGCCTCACCCTGGCCTACCTGAGCTTGTCCTTGGCGTCACTGAAACTCTCAGACACGAAGTAGACGGGCTGGTAGGTCTGATCTTGATAGGGCTGCACAGCAGCAGCCTCAGGGTCGAAGGCCCGGATCTCAGGCTCCTCAGACAGGGAGTGCTGGAGGGAGGCCACAGGTGTCCCCGCTGGCCACGCCCCAGGGCCCAAAGGAACCCTGACCGGACTCCCTGGTAGCTGTGGGTATGGGCCCACCCTTTCTCCCCCAGGATCCTCCAAGGCCTGGGGACAGTGTGGGGTGGGGCTGGCCAGGGACGAGCTTTCCCCCCAGGAGGGTGTGGCCAGGAAGTCCTGGTGGAGAGGGCCCACCCCCTGGGGGCCTGGTGCCCCACTCTGTGCTGCCGCAGGGAGGGGCCTCACCAGGAGCTCCCCGTAGGAGGACAGCAGCCCTGCGCCGTAGGCCTTCAGCTCCCCGTTCTGCCTGCACAGCCCGAACTCCACCGTGAACCAGTACAGCTGTGGGAGGGCAGAGCCAGCTGCCCTGGTGCCGCAGCCCACGGCCATGGCAACAGACAGAAGGGGATCGGGCCTCCCGCTCCCTGCCCTGGAGGGGAGAGACCCACCGTGGATAGCTTCTCGATTTCCTCATCTGAGGCTCCCAGGGACGCAAGGCCGATGTCCTGGGGGTGGGGAGTGGAGAGGCTCAGCCTGGCATTGGGCCCAGGGCACAGGCAGTGGGGTGTCAGCTGCCTTTCTGGGGTCCCTCAGACACGGAAGGCATAGACCCTCCAGCCACCTTGGGCCCTGGGCTCACTGAGCCTGGGTGGGCCAGCAGGGGGCAGWGCCTGAACCTGAGCTCTGCCTGAGCCCTTCTCCCCTGGTGGTCTGGATACCCAGCAGGCAGGGCCCTGGACACACCCCACACAGTGGGGCAGAATGTGCCCGGACCATCGGCCCTGGCCAAGCCCCTCAGCACCCCCTGGCCCTRGCTGAGGCCCACACACACCTGGGAGAACTGTGCGAACGTGCGGTCAGCCAGCATGGGCACGTGCCCCAGCAGCTCRTGACAGCAGTCCCTGTGTGAGGGCAGGAGAAAAGGGGAGGGTTGGCTGGGCAGGCCAGCCCCTGCCCCGTCCTCCAGGCTGGCCACGGAGGGCTGGCTCAGGACCCCAGCCCCTCGGTGTCTCTGCCCCTGTTTGTACACGGGCCTCCCCGCGGCCTCATGCAGGGGCTCAGAAGCATATGCCGGGCCCTCCTGGCCCCGGGTGGTCACTCACGGCTCTGGCGAGTGCATGGGTGAGGAGGCGTGGCGGATGTACTGGGTGCACTGGAACACACGGAAGGCCAGGCTGGCCAGGAAGTCCCTGGCCGACAGAAGGCCAGCCACAGGCCGCAGCTGGAAGCCCGTCCGCTCTGCAAGGGACCACAGTCAGGGTTTGGGAGGCCAGCAGACTGACCCGCCTCTCCCTCCTGGCCAGCCCCCAGCCCGCACCCTTCAGGAAGCGTGAGACGTCCTCCAGCTGGGGAATGCTGTCCTCGCGGTAGCCGCTGAAGCGCTCCAGCAGCCGGAAGGCCTCCAGGTGCTCGCGGCAGGCGTGGGTGGCGTACAGGCCCTTCAGGGTGCTGTAGACCTCCTTCCTGCAAGCCCCGCAGCTCAGGGCCCACCAGGCCACCACGGCCCCAGGGCTCTGCCCATTCCTGGGGACCCACTCCACAGTCCCTCCTGTGGCCACTGCGTCCACTCCCCATGGCCTCTCTGCCACTGGGTGGGGATTTTGCTGTTGGCTTTGGGAAGTTCAGGGGGCCTGGGGCAGGGAGGACATCCCTGGAGATAACCTGATATTCCCGGCCAAGGCTGGAAGTCCCTCCTCCACCTGGCCTTAATCTGCCCTGCCTCACAGTGTCCTAGGGGCAGCCCTCACGCACAGGAGCCGTCTCCCTGGCTCTCCTCGTGCCCGGCCCTGCCCGTTCCCAGCCAGCTGTGGGGGTCTCACCAGGTGGCAATCTCCTCGGCTGTGTACTCCACTCGGGGAATGGGTTCACCACTGTTGGGGGGTCAGCTGTCAGCCACGGCCCCCTGCCCCGGGGAGGGGAAATGGCGGAGTGCAGTGAAGCCTGGGGGCGGTGGGCAGGGTGTGCCGGGCTGTGCCACCTGGGTGGCCTTGGAGGCTGCTGAGCCTCTGTGCCTGTGTCCTCAGCTGGGATCTGAGGACAGTGCCAGTGGCCACCTTGGAGCAGTATAAAGTGGACGGCCAAATAGGCAAGGGCAAAGCCTGGAGCAGAGCGGCTGGGGGCTCGACCCCAAGTGGCAGGTACAGTGGCCGCGAGGTGAGGACATGGGTACCCGAGGTGCTCCCCCAGGGCTGGCTGGGGTCTGGGTGCAGGGCCCTTACTGCTTGTACTGGAAGGCGATCTCGGCGATCAGCTTCCGGCGCTGGCGGTACACCTGGTCCGAGAAGCCCTGAGGGCGTCGGGAACAAGCACCGGTCAGGAAGTCGCCTGCCCTCCCCGCCCCCTGAGCCAGCCAGCAGACAGAGCTGTCTGGGGCCAGTTGGGGGGTTCATAACCACCCCACTGGCAATGGGGTGGACACCGACCAGGCAGGAGGACTTGGGCACCTGCTCACCGGATGGTCCAAGTCCAAGTCAGGATCAAACTTGGTGACCAGGTGGTGACACTTGTCCAGCTCCGACACCTTCCTTGGGAACCATGGGACTTCAGAGAAGACAGAGCAAGAGGGCCAGGTGAGCACAGTCTCCCGCGGACTCCCTCACCCTGCATGCGTCCTCTCCTGGGGACTTCTGCCAGGCAGAGTCTGCTGGGCTGTGACGGGAAGGGTCCTGGAGGAGGCCCCAGGCCTGGATGTGACTAGGTGGCAGAAGTGGGGAGGGCTGCAGCCAGGGGCCCCTCACACCTCAAAGCCATTTGGTGGTACCCAAGGACAGACAGCTGGCCTCACCCTTGTCCTCCCCGGCACTGCGCACGTCATCTGACACCCGGCGCACAGAGCTGAGTAGGGCCGCCAGGTCCCCGCTGGGCACTTCAAAGCGCACAAAGTACTCCAGGTGAGGGCTCCCTGCCCGTGGCCTCTGGGCTGGCCGGGTCTCCAGGTGATGGATCTTGGCTTCAAATGTCTTCAGGAGTAAAAGGAAGAAGAGAAAGTAGGGAGACAGAGATGGAGAGACACAGGGTAGAGACAGAGATGGAGAGACACAGGGTAGAGAGAGATGGGGAGACACAGGGTAGAGACAGAGATGGAGAGACAGAGAGTAGAGACAGAGATGGAGAGACA